CAGCAAATCCCAGTTAGTGCTGATGCTACATATGTATGTTTTCTATCCCAAACGAGAATTAGACCCCTTGGGTTTTTTCAGTGCTATGCTTTTAGCTGTCAGAGAAGTGCAGTGGAACATTGAGCTCTAAGATTTGACTTCCACAATTCAGAATAAAAGAATGGGAAAGAATGAACTGTTGAGGTCACTGGCATAATATCTTGGACTATAAAAACAAACTTGTAGCAGAAAAAGTTTTCTGTTCACTCCTCAGGTAATCCTGTGCCAAGTCAGGTCAGCCAAGAGCAGGTGAAAGATCTAGAAGAAAGTTGTAAGAACAAGGGTAAAAATCATCCTTGGCATCCTTCTCAACTGAGCTATTACAATGCTGCAGGAGGATTTAAATGAATCAACTTAATCACTCTTCCTATTATCCTTGCAATTAATTGCTGGATTTGTAAGGCAGCATCACTTTGTTACTCAGTGTTTTTGTGACTCTTCACCTTCCTCATTCACTCATCTGGTGTAAATTAAACACAGCTTGAGGAGCTGCCTGTTCTTAAGCACTCTTTGTTATGCAGCCTTCATCATTTCAAGTTTTGAAACGTAAAGTACATGTTAGAATCCAATTAGAATGACAAACGAATCATGAGAAAATCTAATGGCATGAAACAAATTTGAAAGCTTAAACAATTTCCAATTCACACTTATATTGTATATAGCTGATGGAGCTCACCTTGCCAAATGGCAGCATTAGCATTTAGACTTCTGAGGAACAGCATGTGCAGTGAAAGGATATTGATTACTGCACACACCTGGAAGGAAAATGAAGGCTAAGAAAGGTGGGACAGTTCTGGATGAGGTGTGATTGCAAATGCCTTAATCCAGACTCAGGGATTAAGGAGGTCATCCCTGTATGGCTGGAGCTGTTCTCTCCCTGGTAAGGCATGTGCAAACCAGCATTTCTCTGTAAATTCATTACAGACAAGCAAAGAAATGGCACCATTATCTCTCTTCACCTTTTCATCTCTGAACACACTTTCCAGACTCAGCAGGACAAGCTGGGGAATCTTTGGGGTGCAGGTCTCAGATCAGAAAAGGGAGAGGGGTTGGTTTGCTACACCAAGAAGTCAAAAGTCTTCTTATTTCAAGAGAATTTTGAAAAGAGAACAAGGGAGGTGGTAAGGAGAAAGTTAAGTGGAAAGGTGAGAACAAAGAAAGCAGAGAAAATGGTAATGATTGCACTAAAAAGAGAGATTAGCCTGTAAAAACATTAAACATTAGTTTAGTGCAAAACAGAATTTAGTATTCAATCATCTGGGCAAAAGTGTGGAAGAGGGAGGAGAAGCAAAGAACAGAATAAACACAGAAAGGTGAACTGAAACATTAATGGGACTGGGATCGGGAGGGATTGAATGCTAAAAAATAGTTCAAGGACAGCAACCAGGGACTGCACTGCTGAGGGCAGACATGTAAACACGGATTTAGTCTGAGGGTTTTTTCCTACTGCTCTAATTGAAAGCAGCTCTTTTTATCAGTTACACTACCAAGGTGTGGCAAAACATAAATACCCACAGATATAAGCAGATACAAGAGGACACATGCATGAAACAAAGGACATGAATGGTAATTTTTAAACTTTCAGGACACCTGAAAAAACCTGTAAAAGCAAATTTGCTCATGGGTCAGCAGCAGTGATGAACAAACCTGGCCAAGTTTAGATACAAGTTCTTAACTTTGATGGAGAACAAAAAAAATGATGCTGTGTGTTTTAGTGCTTGTGCAGCTCCTGTTCACTCACTTTCAAAAAGTTCCCTTGCTGGCAGAAACCTTCAAATATACACAGAATTCACTTCTCCTCCAAAAGGGAAAGGACAGACAGGTATTAAATGAAGAAATTATCTTTAAAATAGAAGGACTTATTTATTAAGAGGTTCCCTTGGCATAGCAATATTGCACAAATACCCTGCAGGACAGTGTGCAAGCTTCTGGGAACACATTTAACCTTGGTTCTCCAAACTTTGCAAGTAATTGCTCAAAGGCAATATCCCCAGCAGCCAAGTGAGGCTGAACATCTGGGTAGTGGATGTTTATTCCAAGGTGGAGCCTGAAGCCAGGGCTGCAGGACACTGGAGAAATGGCAGATGACATTTTCATGCTCTGCTTCTGTTCTGCTCCTTCCTGCCCTCGGAGGGGCTGCATGGTTAGCAGACCAGAAGGGCTGTGTCTGAATGGATTGTCTGGAAATGTTTTTCTGAATGAGGACTTCCAGATCAATACCAGACCATTAGCACTCCAATTGGTCCTGTGCATCTTCTGGAGCAAACAAAACAAACAAACAAAGAGAAATCACAAGGACATTTTTTTATACAGAGTTTAACTGCCCTATAGAAATCATACAGTAACGTTACACTCTGCTTTCCCTTTGTGTGACTTAATCAAACTGTAAACTACTTTTGGTAAAGATTTCATGGCCACAAGTTCAGGACTGTCAGTCTAACACATAGAAATGCTTTGCCTCCACTGTGCAACAGAGCTGTCTTTGAAGAATTGTGTGCAGGTTCAGAGTTTGGCAAGGAACCTGATGTGTCGGTCTAGTGTTTGTGCCCACAAAACTCTGCATCATTAGAAAGGATAATATTTTGCTGTATAAATAGGAAAACTGGACAAAGAAAGCTCCTGCTCAAACTATGTTTGAAAAATGAAAAATCAAACCCAAAGCCCTTCACTTCCTAATGGCAGCTGCAGGAAAAACTTTGAAATTAATGAAGATTTTTGTTTTTCCAGCTGTTGCTACTGCACTCATCTCTGTGCTAAGACCCTCTAAGGTTTATATGATGTTCTTGCCATAACAACAGTGCAAAATACCTGACTCATCCCCCATACCCAATACATATTTGAGTCCATACCCCCAACGTTCTGTTGTCACACAAGCTCATTTCTTCCTAGTCATGACAGATGAGGATGGTGAAAAATATGATCAATCATGCAACACCCAGCAAATATTATTTTGGAAGTTGGTTATTTTTGTGATTTTTCTGCATTTTCTTTCAGTTTTTGTCATCGATTTTGTATAGTCTCTGTGGAGATAAGCATGAAAACTCTTACAATTGCCTTTTTAATTGCTGCTTTCTCTATCAGTTTCTGCCACTTTTTTTCTCCCTCTGCTCTTGTGTTTGGCTCTGTCACACAACTTTTGCAGAGAACTGAGAACAAGCAACCAGCCAATAAAATGGTGACACCCTGGAGAGCCTGCAGCCTTCTCTGGCAATTATATGAAAGGCAATTTGAGGATTCTCAAAGCCACATGAAAAACAGTGTATATCCTAGACATGACTTGCCTATTCACTATTAAAAGCATTTCTGCATCTTAGTACCTTGCACCACTTAAATCTGTCATTTATATAGCAAGCACAAGTCAAAATCTCATAAATTTCACTTACAAAGCTTCAGACCCAAGAATGCAGATAATCTGAGATGTTCAAAAGGGTTTTGCTTTTATGAAAGATGAGATTGGAACAACATATTTATTCAAAGTTGGCATTATATGTCATTGCTGTAGTTCACTTTATGGGGATTCCTGGAAATATTACTCTAGCTGTGTCTGCATGCAAGACAATTTTTGTGCAAATGTGCATGTTTAGGGTTGTTATGGTTCATTTCACATCTCTTTGTGAATGTCTCTTCCTGTTCTGCCCTCTGCAGCCTTCCAAACTTTACCCTTAGGTTCCAGTTGCAGAAATCAGGTGATTTATGAGGAACAAGTTTTCTCCTGCCAGTTTTTATCCCTTGTGGTGTGGAACAGCCAGGGCACTTGATGGCCACCCAAGAGGTTGGCACGAGCCAGGACAAAGAAGGGAGGGCTGCCACTCATCTGGCCTCAAATGAGCTCTTGAAATCCTCCACGGCACGAGCAGAAAACCAGGATTTTGTATAAAAGTTCTCAAAAGTAGGACCCGGAATTTCAACAGGGTTGATTCCATAGAGAATAATAGATTGTGTCAGGTTTTGTGTTTCTGACAGGGATAGCTGTATCATGTGGATTAGGAAGCTCTCAATCTGTGCTTGTTTTCTAGTAAATATCTGATTAAACTACTGGGAAAGCCAGGGGGAAAGGATTAATAATGCTACTCAGTTCTGTCAGCTTTCATAATAAGATAAAGGGAATTTCAAGGACCAATGAAATAAAAGAAATGGAAGAAAGATAACATACAAATAGCAAAAGTAGCTGACTACATATTCACTCAAGCATTGAAGGTATCTTAGAGGTGAATTTTGCACTGTTGGTTGGCAAATTTAAGTGTCTGATTGACTGACTGATGTTTGCTTGAATCTGAAGAGTCTCAAGGCATTTGTTTGAATTACCCAGAAAGTAAAACCTTTCCAAGCCCATTAAATAGCACAGAGCAGATCAGCATTTCCTCCTCTCTAATTCAGAGTTTCTGCTCATTGGTCAGCTACAAAGAGCAGGTCTCATCAGGAGCCAAAATCTCTGAATAATCTTCTCATGTGTGACCCCAATGATGACAGTACTACCTTTGAAAAGGAATTTGCACACTGTCTCTCCTGGTCATGAATTTGATCCTGCTGCCTGTGGCCTTGTTTTCAATGTTTTAACTCTTAATCCAAAGGAGTTTTACACACACCAAGTGAGTTTTACATAGTTGCTGCCACATTGTTCATATTCTGAAAAGTTTTTCCCTGCACACACCCAATATGAAAATCTGAATTAATTTACAGCTTCCAAATGAGCTTGATAGACTTTGCACTGCATTTTAGATTTAATTTGGCAGCAGAAAGTTTGGCCTTCAGTGTTGAATTACTCCAATTTCAATCCAAATAGAAGTTCCAGTCTGTTGCTCTGAGTTTACCTTTTTTTCTTTTTTTAGGAGACTTCTTTCTACATTGTCTTTATGTGAGTCATTATGAGATTAGTGGCATTTTCTGGGGTTTATGAGAAAATCCCTAGAAAGTTTAACTCTCATATCTTCTGAATGAGATAAAGAACAGCCTGCCTATTATCTTAGTATTGTCTATTCCCTGGCATGACCTTATCTTGTGCTGCTACAAGAAAATATTTATTGACATTATTTACTCTTTTCTCAGGCCCAAACAGTTCTATAAGTTTCAAGAATCCAGTAAAAGTGTGTAAGTAGTAAGAAATACTCTATACTGTGAGATAAGCTGCTTGGTGAAACTTTCCAATAAACTAAGTTTTCCCAGGTGGGTTTTTATTGTGACAGACAGAAAGGGTTTGGCTTTCTGAGTGACTGGAAGACAAAACAAGGCTCAATTACAGGGAACAGCCTCATTTTATGCACTAGTCAGAAACCTTTGCAGTCTGATCAACAAGTTTGGGCTGATGTAGAGCTGCTGGTTCTCTGATGCAGTCGGCTCAACACTTCTGAATTCCATTTCAGAAAACAGAGTGCACTTGGGTGGGTGGGGTGATGTGCTATTTGATTTCCCAGGTGTAGAAAAAGGCAGCCACACAGGACACCTTGTGACAAGGTATCTGAATCACAGCAATTTTTGAGGCCAGCAGGGCCCAGGTGAATGGCAGGTGTGAGATTTAGAGGAAATCCTTGGAATCCTGCAGCAACAAACCCTTTGGAGAGCAGAGCTGTGGAGGAGGAAGAGATAATGGGATGGAAGAAAGGAGAAAAGCTGGACAAAGAACAGATGTGTTCCTTGTAGGAACAGCAGGGAAGGGGAGAAAAGAGAGCATTCTTTCTTTCATATGGGTTTATCCTTCATTCTAAATATGTTATATTTCCCTCTAGAAGTAATTCTCCACAGTTTCTTTAAATTTCAGCTAGGGAACTGCTCTTTCCACTGGTAGTTTTTCAGGCAAATGAAATCAAGTTGCAGTCTAGCTCAGCCCTAGGCTGTGTCTCCATCACCTACATTCTACTGTCAAAGCAACCAAACTATTTTTCAGAGGAATGTTCTTTTTGCAGCAAACTTTCCTTCCCCTCCTCTAAAGAATTCCCCAGCAGAGCAGGAAAACATATTTTCCCATATTTTCCCTGCTTCACATGACCCTCACGCAAAGGAAAAGGAGGCACAGAAGAGTGAATTTCATTTGTGCCTGTTTTGTAGCCTCAATAAGCTGGCAGTCCCTAGCTATTTTCAGGATGCAACAACCTACTTTTCTCAACTCCTTGTTAAGAATTTTGTTTGGAAACCTTCCCAAAAGAAGCTGTACAGCAGAAAACTAAATGTGCCATCTTCACAAATTCCCTATTTCACCTATTTATGACTGGCACAAGAGAAAGGACCCCAAAACCACTGCAGAGAGTCACTGGAATAAAAAGGATCCTCACATGGACAGAAAGTTCACAGAAACAGAAAGTTTCTATATTTCTGACTTCAGGGCTGGGGCCATATTTTGTAAAAAGTCTTTCCAAGCATGCTGCAATACAATTGGAAATGGTAGGTAAAGAAATGTGAAAAAGAAAAGGAAATTACCTCCAGCAAAGAACACATCCCTTTGTCTCCACCCTCTTCCCATGGATCTGTTATCTGGTGCTCAGGACTATGCTGTCTGTACCACTTCCAGAATATTCTTGGTAATGTCAGGGGCTCTAAAACAGGCAGGGTAAAACACTTTACAGGAGTCCTAGGCTAGAAATAAAGGAAAAATGTGACTTGGAGTTTATAGCTCAAATATAAAAGCAGTTAAAACTGAAACAACTCCTGAAAGGAGGAGAAGAAACTGCTCAGGTTCTTGTGGACATCTCTGTGGCCAGAGCACCTTTTGTACTCACCCAGCATGGCCAGAGCATGAGCTACACCTCACCTCCAGCTGCCGACAAAGAGAATTGTTCTGTTGCCTCTCTGGTAAGGCAGGTTCAGCCAGGCAGGTGACAACAGAACTGTCCTGTACAGCAGAGACTGTTGGATCAGGCAGCTGCTCCTTGCTAAAAAGGCAGACAAGGAGTTCAGTTACAATTTGGAATGTAAACTTGCTTTTGTTCTTACTTCCCAGGACCTCTATTTACAGAGGAAATTTGCAGTGGACTCTCTTCTGTCCTCTACAGAACCTAAAAAGTTCCCAACACTTCAATTCCACAGTTCATAGGTTGTGTGTGTCAGAAAAGGCAGTGGAGATGGCAGAATGAAAAAACTTTTCCTTGTGAAGTTATTTAAATAAGATCATAGGAACAGCAAGACACATCTTGAAAATAGACATGCCATTAAAAAATCCCCTAAGTTTCATTATGCAGCTTACACCTGATTGAGCACCACTTCCTTTTTATAACTTCCCTGATATTTGAAAAAAAAAAAAAACTGCACTCTCCTGCAAAAAAATAATATGAAATACAGTACATTTTGTCCAGTAAACATGCAGAACAAAAGCATCATTGCAACAGCACCACTGTTTCCCAAGCCTGGAGCACAGCTGAAGGCTCTTTGTCATTCTGTCTGTAGTGCTTACACCTGTGAGAAGCATAACCTGATGAATAAGGATGGAATAATGTTACAGAAACCTGCTGATAGCAGAGCAGCTCCTCTGACTTCTAATTTATTCCATGTGGCTCAATCACTATTTCTTATTTCTCTGCTGCAAGATTTCACAGAATATTCTGAGTTGGAAGGGACCCACAAGGATCATCAAGTCCAACTCTAAAGTGAATGGTCTGTACAGGGATCAAACTTATGCCCTTGATGCTATCAGCACCATGCTCTGCCCTGCTGAGCTGTTCTCAGGGTTTTATTGAACATCGTGCCACAGTTTGCAATTAAAAGAAACCAATTATTACAAGTTGAACTTAGAACAACAACAAAAAAACAAATTCCAAATTTTGGAAAAGTTTCTTGGATCCTCTTTATCTCCACACAAAGTTCACAATTTCACTTTGACCTTCTGAAATTCAGTTGTCATGAGCAGCATCTCTTTATTTCCTACTGTATCATGAGCTGCTCCCTCCATGCACAGATGACCAAGCATACCTGGTGTTTAAACCATCCCTGAGTAACATTTCAGATTCTCTCAGTGCCTCTGAACAGTGTGAGGAATTAAAATCCTCCCCTCCTTAGGCAGTAGGTAAAATTGCACACAAAAAATTTAAACCTGGGTGGGAAATACCATTTTCTTCTTGCACAAAAGTTAAATTTTTAAAAACTTATCCAACTCTGAAACACGAGTATCACAAAAAATGGCTTGTACTCAATATACAAAGATAAGGAAATGTGTTTCTGGGTCATTTAAATTATTTTGGACTCCTGTTTGTGTGTTGCTTTCCCACATTTGACAAGCTTAGTGGGTAGGGTGACACTGATACATGGGCTCCTTCCCATGAGCAGCACAAAATCAAGCCTGGAACAATGAGGAGCAATTTATGCCTCTCTCTTTACGGACAGAAAGCTCTGAGAACATTTCTTTCTACTTCTTTTGAATTAACAAAATCCCTGATGTACTTGTTCTGGTGAGAGATGTAAATAAGGGGGAATAAGAGATGTAAAGAATTATATTGGCCCTGCAATGTAATATATATATATAGGAATCAAGGCTGTCAATTTGCCTTCATAATATCTGTGTTTTATGATATTTTAGTGCTCAATTCTTTAGCATTATGACAGTTCATGACAGCTGGTGATTGATTTGGTGCTGGAAGCATACACATACAAGAAGTACTCTTCATAGTGAAAGGGCCATTAGAACACATTTTCTGAGTGATACCTGGTAAGAAACTCCTCCCAGACGCTCAGTGCAGTACCTATGGGGTTGAAAATACTCAGCAAGTTGCCATTTCTCTTTCTAGAACCTAGATGAAGGAAAAAAAAAATTAAATTATGTATTCTACCCAAAAGTACCACTGTGCAGGTGAACCATCCATTGTCACTTCAGCAGCAATCACAGAGAAAATTAATGTGTCCTTTAATGAGGAACATTGTGGCTTCTTGGAGTACTTCTTGGAGGCATCTCAAGAGCACAGAGAGTGAATTTTCAGTTTAAAGAACAGGACTAATGGAAGTGAAAGTGGGCATGGCTACAAGGCAGACAGGAGAGACAGAGCACACCCAAGCTGCTGGGGAATACCTGTGGAATGGGTGCACAAAATTCCCTGCTCACAGCAGAAATGTGGGTGCAGGACAGACATTCAGGTAAGTCACAGCAGTCCAGACTGCAGTCCTCAAGCCTTCCCTGCCTTCAAACCTAAACTGCTTTGTTGCTAAGAGATCTGCAAGTCACTGCTGGGTTTAGTTACACCTCAGAACACCCACAGGTCTGACAGGTTTTGAGATTGAACACTGAACAGACCACACCACCCTCCTCATAACTCAACCTTGCACTGCAGACAGTTCAAGGTTGTGCCTTCCCACCTCCTAAGGACATCTCAACTCATTGGCAGGGAGATTAATCTTGTTGACAGGCCAAGGCTGTGACTGGAAAACATCTGGAAGTTTAACTTCCTAAGCTGGGATCCTTCTAAGGACCACAAAGCCCAGGAGAGAAAATCATGTTGAAAACTTGGTTCAACAGAGGCCTGAATCAGAAATAGTTCTGTGAGTCAAGGACTGATGGCCTCTGATGAACCCTGAAGAAGTGTTGAAGGTGAGTTTGTCATGCTAACACTTGCTGACATTGGCACAGCAGAAAATTATTCATGTGAAATGTGTCTATGTTGTGTGTGTGTATCTATATATTTGTGCAGGTGCCTCTGTGCATTGATGGAAATCCCAATGACAGCTGGAGAGTTCCAAGACCTATTTTCTGGGATTTTGCAGGCAGCAGGTATTTTTTCTAAGCCCTGACAACGTTTGCAACAGACCTCATGACTCATCTTCTGGATAATTCCCTCAACTGGTGTCTCAACACCACATTTCATTCCAGTCAGTTCTGAGCAGGCTTCCCTTGGGGATCACAAGGAGCCAAACAGGATCACAGGACCTTGGAGAGGTCCTGCAAGAGGCATAAGAACATCTGCTCTGTTAGCCAGGGCCATACTCAGCAGTAACTAAAGAGGCAAAACTAGGAAAAAAGAAAATAAGTACAAAGCTGATGGGCAAGCTACAAAAATCAAACCAAAGCTACAAAGACAATTTGGTAAAAAATATGAACAAATTTATTCTCGAGATCTATTCTGGTGTCATACTGTATGAAGCACTGTAATTTTCTTCTCTTGGTGTCCCACAATACCAGGACTTTGGGGCTTTTAATTTTAACTTAGCAGTATTTGTAGGCCCTGTGGACACGTTTTCCATTGATTGCTCTGGTACAGTCCCAGGGGGAAAGACCCTGTCATTCCTTCATTGAAATTCACTATATCTGTCTCTCTTCATGGTAGTTCACTTTTGCAGGAGGGAATTGAGCTATTCTGACTCGTCCCCAGGGCACACAATAGTGGATGGAAATAACACCCAGGCTTTGTAAAAGTTCTTAATACAATCACTTCTTGCTTGAGGCAAAAGAAAAATCAATAAAACGTGGGCATCTGGTGTGAAAACCTCACATTTCTTAACCTGTATCAGTCCTTGGATTTTCAGTTCATTGTGGAGGTGGAAAGAATTGGAGGAACTCATGTGAAACCCACACCAGGAAAAAAAAAAACAAATCACAATTTGGCACAGAAGTACCAAGCCTGTGAGAAAACAGAATTTTTAAACCAGGCTAGTGTGGAGCTACATATTCCAATCAACTATAATCAAATACAGGGGTCCCATATTGACAATTTACTTCCAGCATCAACCAAATATTTTAAGTCTTTTTCATACTTTCTCCAAGATAAAACGCTTTACAAGACTGAAATATTTCCATGGGTAGGGAAAAATAGACTCGTCTTGCTATGAAAATAAGAGTTTTCCTACTTTCCTTAAGATTAAAACATTAGATTAAAAAAAAAAAAACAAAAACCCAAACAAAAAAAAAGCAGACACATAATTTCCCCATGCATCATCTTTGCAAAATTCTCAATTTTGCAGTTCTAAAACTTCAGGTTTGGAAAGAGAAAATGGGTCCAGTGCTCAACAGAGATATCTTGAGATTCTTGCTTTCAGATTTCTGCTTCTACAGGGAACAACCAGCTCCAACAAACCTGTGGAAAATACAGATGGCTCTCAAATTTCAAACAGGAAGAATTTTTAGCCAAAATTCTTGAGCTGCTCCTTGCAAGAAGAAATGACAAAAGAGCAAAGCTCTCTTTTTGCCGCAGAACTATGCAGGATGTCTGAGAGGAGGAAACACAAGTGAGATCAAGACCCTCCAGGCTCCCAGAAAGCCTCTGCACATCCCCAGAAAGTTCTGCGGATGGTGTCACGAGATGAACATGAACATTGTGAGTGCTAAATCTATCAATCAAACTCATACCTCTGCTGACCAAGGGCTTGGTGCTCCCTGCCCAGAAATACAGAAATTATGCCTTGTTTAACCTGGAAGCGCTCAGACACAAACTCAGTGATGTTCCTGCCATCATCCTCTTGGTCAAAGCTCCAAGGAAAGGAAACCTTTAGTATCCATTTCTTCTTGGTGCTGCTGGATGTTTTCATTCCTGGTTCCTTCACAAGGGTGAGTAACAAAAGCTGTGAGCTCACAAAGCAAGGAGGGAAGGTGGTTTCTTTACTCTGTTTATTTTTTCCCTTAATTAGGCAAAGACATCTTTTCCTGGCTTTGGCTAAGACCTAATATACTCCCCACTCTCTTTTCAACCCAGCACCTCCTCAGGTTATTTTTGCTGGCATTATCAGTTCATGAGAAAAAGAACTTACTATTAAATATACTAAGGGGCTGTAATTTCCCCTGACCTTGGTGATTACAGGGCTTCACCCTGAATATATACACATTTCTGCTGCATCTTGCCTAACAAGATTTGATTGAACATTAATTGAGATTTCATACCAAACTGAACTGTACTAATTTGTTCATTATTTTTGTAAGACCGTTTTGGGCTGGGTCTTTGACATCTGACCAAAATGACTC